ATTTCATAATAAATTTGTAAATATAATTTTTTATAATTTTTTTAAAACTTTTAAAACCATTTAGAACTATTTAAAATTTTTACTAATAAATAATAATTATATATAATCTAATAGTTATAATATATTTAAAAGTTAAAACTGGTTTAAAAATCTTTAACTAGTTAATTAACTAGTTAAAATTAACTTAGGCTAATATTATAAATTTAATCAGAGTTAGCAAATATTTTATAAATAATAATAATTTTAATTTGACTAAAAATTGAATTTCAACTAAAATTATAATAAACTATTTTAATTGATTAAAATTTTTCTTTAATAAGTTAACATATTAACTATTTAATTAATTAATTAATTGGTTAAAAATTAATCAATTTTAACTTTTAAATATATTTGTATTTCATTATCAAAAAAAAAAAAATTAATATTAGTAAATCTATATTATTTAATTTTAAAATAATAAATATAAATTATTTAATAATTTTTAAATAAAATATTTTATTTATAAGATTATTATTATTTTTATTATATAAATTTATATTTAAATTTAAAACATTTTTTTCTAATAAAATAATATTTAGAATTTTTTTTTTAAAGAAAATTACTTTTAGAATATTTTTAATTTGCTTTTAAGATAATTTTTTAAAAATTGCTTCTAGATATTTTTTTTAAAAAAATTAATTATTTTAGAAATAATTTTTTCTTTAAAACAAAAATTTACTTTTAAGATATTTTTTTTAAAAAATATTATTTTAGAGATATTTTTATTAAAGGGATTAATTATTTTAGGAATAAATTTTTTTTAATAAAAATTATTCAAAAATTATTGAAAATGCTTTAAAATATTTTATTAAATTTTATTATAAAATATAAATAATATAAATTAGCTTTTTTTTAGTTTAACTTATTAATTAATAAAATTAAATTAAATTAAACTATATAAAATAAATTTAGCTGAACTGATATTAACTGATTAAAATAATTTATATAATACTTTACTTATTTGATACTTTTAATGCTCTTTTAGTTAACTAACTATTATATAAGATTACTAGACGAAATCTAGAAATTATATAAATTATTTAAATAACAAAAGGTATAATTTAGAAAATTTTATTAAAATTTTATTAAAAAATTTGCAAAACTCAGAAAAAGTAAAATTATATCAAAACTTATAAAAATAGCAAAACTATTTTGAAATTTTAGTAAAAATTAGCAAAATTAAAGGTTTAAATATTTAGTTGAACCTAAAATAAGTTTAGACAAGTATTTTTAATTATATATCTTAAATTATATTATTTGAAATTTTATTTGAATAAATATATTAATTATTATATTACTATAATTTATTAATTAATTAAAATAAAAATTTATTATAATTTGATATAATATTTTTTAAATATTAGAATTACTTGTATATTTATAATTAAGAAAAAAAATTAATAATTTTTTTTTTAAAAAAATTTTATATACTTTAACTTAATATATGTTTTAATTTTTAATATTTATTATTAAAAAATAAAAGTTTTTTTATTTTTAATTTTATAAATTTATTTATAATTAATTATCAAATAATTATAATAACTTTAATATAAATAAAAAATAAATAAGGTATTAATATATTTAAAAGAAAAATATTTTTATATTTACTTATTATTTATATTAATTTTATTATATAACTTAAACTAAAATTTAAAATAATATCAAATCTTTTATAGATTTTTATTTTAATTAACTATTTTTATCTTATTATTAGTTTGGTTTTAATTATTTTAATATTTAACTTATAGTAATTAATTTTACTCATCAAAGTTTATGATCTTAAGATATTCTTTAAATTTAACAAATATCTGTTATACTTAAATTAATTTTACAATTTATACATTTTAGAATTTTAAGATTTATTTAGTCAAATTTAATAATAAACTTAAAAGTAAATTAATGTAATATATCAAAATTAAATTTTAAATGAAAAATATTATTGAAAAAAAGTAATTTTGTAAGTTTTAATTGATTTTTATTATTAATTATTTTTAAAATTCACAAAAGAGGTTTAAGCTCTTAAAGTTTTTAAATTTTTTAAATTTAATTTATAATTTTAATAAAAAGTAATATATTTTATATAAAATTATTTTATTATAGTTACCTTAATCAAATTCTTCATTTTTATCTGTCTAAATATAACTTATTAATTGCTTATACTTTTTATAAAAACTTATAACTTTTTATTCAATTATAAAATCTATAATATATCCAGTTTAAAATAAAAATCAAAAATCTTTACTTTCTCCAAAATCTAACTATTTCACTATAAATTAATTAAATAAAGATATAATTAAATAAATATTATAATATAATATAAATGATATAAATGATAAAATAAATAAAATGATTAAATAAATTAAAGAAATTACAAAATAAATAGACTTATAAAAATTATAAGAAAAATAAAAAAATAGTTTTTCTTGATTTATTTGAAGCTGATTTGTCTTTACTCAATATTTTAAATTCTGAATAACGTCACCGATTATAGATAAATTATTAAAATCAGAAGTATTAACTTAATTTTTATTATGTTAAACATTTTGATATAACATTATTTTCAAGTAATCAATCTACATAAAGTGATAATATTATTTTTCAACATTAATAATATATATATTATTTATTATATAATATCTAATTATTTAATAATTTTTTTTTTATTATTATATTTAAATTTATATCTTTTATAAATCTATATTATTTTTATAAAAATTATATCATTTATAATATATTTAATTTAAAATTAATATTTCTTAAATATATATAATTAATTTCTAAAAAAATGTAATTCTAGTATTTCTATATTTTTAAAATCTTAATATTTTATAAATTTTTTATATGAATTTCTTATTTTTAAATATAAAATCATTTTTATTTTACATAATTTATGTAATAAATTTATTAATTCTATTTTATTTTATTTAATAATTAATAAAATGATATTTGCTTAAGTAATGTAAATAGTTATAAATAAAGTTTTTTTATATATTTTCAAAAATATTAGGTAGTTTTTAGAAATAGGTAAAGATGATCAAAATAATTAAAATGATTAAAATAAAATAATATTTTAGAACTTTTTTTGTATCTTTTTTTTTAAAGTTGTAAACTTTAAAGTTTAATATATATTATGAGCATTATTCTCAAATCAATAAAAGCTTTAATAATAGAAATATTTCTGCCTTCTTTTATCCAATGTTTAATAATCTTGCCTTATCTATAACTTCAACAGTCTCATTTTTAAATTTTAAGGTGCACTTATAAATAAAAAAAATAAATAATACTTATTTTTATTTTTATACGTTTATTAATCATTGATATTATTTAGTAAGGAACGAAAAGGACTATTTTATTGTTGCACTATTACCGTCTTAAAAGATCCCTTTTTTAATATACCCCTATTTTCGGACGCATGTTTAAATGCATGTCGATCAGTACTACAAACATACAAAATTTTTTTGATTTCAATCGCTTTATTACAAAATAAATTTGACATGTAAAATCCTAACGAGTCGAATGTTTATATTCCATACTATCCTCAACACGATACCACTTTAAACCCTTTATCCAATGCAAATATTGCAGAATGCTCTGCCATTCGAGTATAACAAATCGTCGCCACGAGTTATTAGTTCCAGTCTAAACTTTCAGTCGATGAAAACCCAAGTTATTCATTACAACCTACTCAAGCACCTATTTCATCATCGCCCAACTATTCAATTAATTCAAATCCTGTTGTTATGGCAAAATTTCCTTTTATTATAGGCCACGCAACGTCTTTCAAATATATCGTATTCCTTTGAAACTTTCTCTCAGTTGATAAATAATACTTGACAACAACTCTACTTTCTATCATGAACAAACGAAAGTAAAAAAAATCTACAAATTAACATGTGAAATGATTTCACACACATTTATGATTCAGTATTTAAACAAAAGCATTTATGGTATTGAATTCAATCAGATTGAGCAACAGCAGCAGGAATTTTCTAGTCAACACCAAGAAAATCTTTTATTACACTTTAGAAATGATTTGGCTCATTATTTTACTCCAAATCAATTGCAAACGCGTTTTTAAATTTTTTAAACTGATTCCTTAACTTTCAATCAAAAATCGATATAATCAACAGTTCATCTAATTATTTTATTTAGTTTTAAAGCACGATATTTCATTTGTTAAATAATTTTCGCAAAATAGAAAATTTGATTTTATGTATTTTAATTAACAAACAAACAATAATATTAAGTGAAATGCTATTTAATTTTTTGCATTCCTTAATAAAATTTGTCAATTGGCATAAAATGATATCATGCATAATGTGACACGACTCTACCACATTTTAGGAAATCACCTAGTTGACGTGTAACGTTTTGTCCACAAATTTCAGATGCCAAGAAGGAAACAAACAAAAACATTTGTTATTTGTATAAATTTATCATGCTTTTAATGTCGCACATTATTTTTGGAAATCGAGGTCGTTAAGTTTATTCTATCTTCGGATAATGACACGTATAGAACATCTCAAATCTTTTTTTTTTTTTTTGAACCAATAATAAATAATGTTTGTTTTAAGTCTAGACAAATTAAACTTAAAACATCAAAAAATGGAAAATAAAAAAGGATTTAATTAGAATTCGACGAAATCCTTTTTGTTTGTTTATATAGCGAGCGCAGTAAATAAAATTTCAAAATGGAATAGCTCAAAAAAAAAAAGGAGAGAGGATCCCACTGGGTGAGGATACTTTACAACATTTCTTCGTTTAAAATTACATATATATATATATATTTTATTTAAATGATAACGGAAATTTTCACTTCCTGAATTCCAAAAAATTTCAAACTTAAAAACCTTAATATTATTCATAAATCTAAATCTTAATGTATTTTGCTTATAATAACTACCGTAAAAAAATTGAACTTAATGAAAGATCTGTTCGTAACACTAAACGCAAGAATTATTTTAGGGGTTGTGAAACATACCATGACTACTATTATCCTGTTGAGGAGTAAAATATTGGTCATTGGAAAAAGTATTTTCATTACTTTGCTGAAAATGTTTCTCTTCATATATTTGTTGGGATGAAAAATAATGAGCCAAATCATTTCTCAAGTGTAATTTAAGATATTCAATATGCTGCCTAGAAGGTTTCTGCTGTTGTTGTTCAGTCTGATTAAATTCGATTCCATAAATATTTTTGTTTAAAAACTGAAACATTGATATATGTGAGATCATTTCACAGGTTACTTTATAAATTTTCTTCGTTAATGTTTGTTCATGATAGAACACATAAACATTGTAAGTAGAATTATTGTCAATATTGTTTAATATCTGAGAGAACGTTTCAAATGATAATTGTACTTCTTCACAATTAACACGGTAAGGATGAAAATTGAAGCAATAGAAGAACGAGAAATCGGAGTTATTTGAATTATATGCTTGGGTAGATTGTGAAAGCTGACTTGGATTCATTGCCTGTTGAACTTCATTCATATATAATGGCACCGCCGCCGTAGACACTTGAGACACTTGATACGTATCGTTAACGATTTGGACGTCCTGTCTGGGAATTAAATTGTTGAAAGTGGAATCAATTTGAGAATTTTGCGGAAGATAATTGCTTGTATTGATGGCGTTTTGTTGATACATATTGAATGTTCATGAGTGAAAAAGACGATGAAACCAAATGTTTTTATTCCTTTTTTTTTAGAGTTTTTTTTTTTTTTTTTTTTTTTTTTTTTGTATCTTTTTGGGTCCATAAATCCCTCTATAATTTATACAATAATATACTTGTAAGAAATAAATTAAAAATATTTGCAAAATTAGGGTTCAAAAAATTAAAACATCTAACGGAACTTATTGGTAGCGAAAAATCTATAACTTTGATTTTTTATTTAATAAGAAATAAAGTTGTGACCACCGTTTGAGGTGACTGTAAAATTACTTTCAGCCATCGAACGCTTCAAAAAAAAAAAATTCATTTGTGTGATGTGTATCGTTAGCAATAAATTAATTGGTTTGACTTGACTTTAATGGTTTGTCCAACTTCAAATGTATGCATGTGACTTTGGATTTACAATGATAGTAACTTCACGAGTTATCAGAGATTACTTCGGTAAGCAAAATCCACCAATCAATGCGTTGTTCGTAGTAACAGTGAAGTTATTATGATTACCCGTTATAATTATATCAGGTTCAAATAATTAACTTTTTGCTGTTGCCATTTCCGAAATATAATTATCATATGAGGCCGTGATTAATTGCGTCCTATTCTCATGTCACATGCCCAGTGTTCATTGAACATGTAAAGAGATGTATTTCTACTCATACTGCACGAAACACCATCACATTCTTCTTCCCAATAAATATTAATAATAATCAGTGTGGTGGCATTTCTATTTAAATAAAAACCGAAAGGGAAATAAGAATTGTAATATATTAAAGGTAGGTAATTAATTCTTGAATTAGTTCTGGTGCTTTTTGCATATTAAATATATTAAATTTAAGATTGACAATGCATTGTTGACCAACCAGCTTAAATCGCGTGAATAATAAACGAATTAGATTGTAACTTTTTTTTTAACATTTTAAAATCATATAAATGTCACAGTCACAAAATGACCAAACCGTATCAAATTCTGCATGTACTAGACTTTGAGGCCCGCTTGGCTATATGGCTTTCTTCTATTGCTTATCCCAAACCCAGAAATTTATAAAATTTATTATTGGCACAATATGTTCAACGTTTTCGTTGCTTTGTGTTGTCTCCTTTGTTACAACTGTGAAAAAAGGAAGAAATCCACTTTTCGGACACATCTAATGAGTTGGATTTCACTATGCCGATCATTTGTCGATCATGTATATATTATAGTCACATTTATTTTGTGGATAGGAAAACTTTTAATATGTCTAATGAAATAAAGAACGATCCGAACTTCACATGACTCACACGAATTATAAATTCTCCAAACATCCAATATATAAATGAATAAAAGCAGCCCACCCCTAAAGAGAAAGTTTTATAAGTAAAAAAAAATCGTTCTATTTATCGATGTTTGAAAAATATACTTTGCCTAAGAAACCTCTCCTTACGTATATATAAATAAATTAGCAAAATGTCGTTGTTTCCTAAACATTGCCACTAAATCATAAAATAGTAAGGAAAAGTTTTCATTTTTCACAAAGTGAAATCACCTGCAAACAAAAATTCACTGATTAAATTTTCGCGTCGCAATTCTTATACGCTTGTTTCAATACTATGAAATCGATCACCAATTTTTGTTGAACCAATCATCCGTTTGAATAGAACAGGGCTATAGTTTAATAATGCTGAGTAAATCATCATTATGATTACATAAGGAGATGGATTGAGCCAATAGAATTGGTTTGATGTGACGTTGCTTTAAAAACCCCCTTTTTGCTTGGAAAAAAAAAATTTTTACTTCTTCCCACTTCTCGCAGACCGGAAACTTCAAAACCGAAGGTATATTTTCTTTTTTTTCTTTTTTTTTTTTTTTATTGTATTTTTTTTTATTTACTTTTCAAGTATAAGACTTAATCATTTTTCTATATACAATGTTTACCTGAAGATTTCCGAGTTCTTTCTTTGGTACATCAACATCAAAGATAAAGAGGAGTATTAGGAGTTTTGTCTATGGCCAAATAACCCGATTTCCAGTCCATCCAGCTTTATTTTTCTGTGAAGAAATTGTCAAAGCGGGTAATGATGGACCAGTGGTCTTTGAGGTTTAACCAGTTTAACGGTAAAAGTCATTATATCGAGTTATCGGCTGCGGCTATAACCCGGTTTCCAGTCTATCCAGCTTTAATTTCCTGTGAAGAAATTGTCAAAGCGAGTAATGATGGACCAGTGATCTTTGAAGTTTAACCAGTTGAACCTTAAAAGTCATTATATCGAGTTATCGGGCGTTTTACCTGCGGCTATAATAACCGGTTTCCAGTCTATCCAGCTTTATTTCCTGTGAAGAAATCGTTAAAGCGAGTAATGATGGACCAGTGATCTTTGAAGTTTAACCTTGGAGGTCATTATACCGAGTTATCGGGCGTTTTGCCTGCGGCTATAATACCCGGTTACCAGTCTATCCAGCTTTAATTTCCTGTGAAGAAGTCGTTAAAGTGAGTAATGATGGACCAGTGGTGTTTAAAGCTTTGCTTTAGAGATCATTAAACCGAGTTATTTTGGGATCAAAGGGCTACATTTTATATGTTTTTTGGTTTTCCTCGGTATTAGAGGATTTCCTTCCTTATTTATACTGGTAACCATTAACATCATATTATGTTGCCTGTGGTAATTTTTTTTTAACCCGAACAAGGCTTGCCACCTCTACGTGGTGTCCGGGAGAAACAGTTATAGGTTAATCTATATCTGGCTAAGTGCAAGCATGCTGTGATCCTAATAAAGGAGAATTTTTGTTAGATGTTTTTAACATTAATGTTGTCTAAATAAAAAAAAAATTGTAATATAAAAATTTATAGTAAAAAAAAAAAAAATAAATTTTTTATTTACTTTGATATTATAGATGTATACATTTTAGCATCTGGTCAATTAAAATGATTCGGTTTTATTGCTGCTTTTAAGAATATTTCATTATTTTTTTTTTTTTTTTTTTTTAACGAATTATGTAAAGAAAGGTTCAAAAATGTTGTATGGAAGTATGATATTATACATAAACGGAGATGATGTATTCAACGAAAATCTTAAAATTACAGTATATTAAATTACTAACTATTAAAGTTGAATGTTTTGATTATCAATAAAATAATTAGTAAATACAAAGTCCCATCGGTCATGACCAAAACAAAAAAAAAAAATAATTAGCATTCGCAAAGGTGAAAATTTCTAATTAATTTCATCTGGCAAAACCAAATCCCATTTTGACAAAAGTCGAAACCTTTCGATTTCGATGGTTTCGACGTTATCGATGGATTTCGACGGGTTTCAACGGTTTCAATTTCATCCAATAGTATTGGTGACACATATCTTCAAATATTTGTTGAGAAGTAAGATAGGAGGATAGTTTGCTTTTTGATATTCGTATATCGAAAATTATTTCAAATATCGGAAAAGAACCCATTTAGTACCCAAAGAAAATATAAAAAAAAAAAAAAGAAACACTTCGAGAAAAATATTTATTTCGATATTCAAAATGAATTTGATGATTTCGATATTCGGTTGAATTTTTTTTTTAAAAAACACTTTCAAGCATTTGAAACTCAATTTGAATTTCAAACGGAAACTCTTATATTGTCATTTAACGAAATAATTATTAATGAACCACGATAATTTATGAAACAAAGGATCTTTCTTTTTTAATCATTGCATCAACATTTATTGCGAGGAGTAACTACACCTGAAAATTTGATTGGATTATTTTGCTAATGCCGCTCGAATAGAAAGTATTGGGTCAAAGCCTTGGTTTATTTTATATATTTATATATTTATATATTTATGCAAGCCAAGCGAGGAGTCAAAAATATTGAATAAAGTATTTCATAATAACCGTTGGTCAACGAATATGACACGTTAAAATACCCTTTGTCTAGATGTGTCTAGATTGTAGATACATGTATGTGACTATACATTCCGTATCCTTAAATTTTTTTTTTTTTCATAGGGGAGGACTATGCATACTTAACACGTAAATGCTTAGAAACTTATGTTCATACATATTCAAAATTCAAAATAACTAAAAAAAACTATAAATATCGTTGCCTAAACCATAATGATTTTGCCATAAATTAATTTGCTTTTAAAGCTTTTCTTGCGAAAACTCTATGAGTTTTCCAGGAAGTTTCATATTCTTCAACTTCCTTTGAATAACTATCAACCAGATTATAAAAATAATTTTCTTCCACATCCGGATTATAACGCATTACTAATGACTTTAACGATCTAAATGAAATACATGACGTATCGATCGACTAGGGAAAAAAAGAAGTGGAGTCAATCTTTTTTTTTGCAAAATGAAAAGATTAAAAAAAAAGGTAAAAGAAAAGATCATATATGCACGTTTACCAATACTCCAGCTTTCCCGCCCCAATTACCGATTGGACCACCGTTGGTTTCATGAGTGATCGAAGATTTATCTATTCCGGTTGAAGAACCTAGGAAACCGGGCAAAAGATTTCCCGCATTCCCATTAATATTCCTCGATTTTAAAGCAATTATGATGGCATCAGTCAATTTTTTCGTATTGGGACCTTCATTTACTAATTTACAGTCGGATTCCATGAGTTCTATCCAACCCCCGGGTTTAGTAACCCTGATTAACTCGGGGATGACTTGTGACGTCCACTTGTCTTCCGGAATTGCGGTTATCAAAAATCGCATGAAAACAAAATCATATGTGTTATCATTAAACGGCAGGCTTTCTAATATATCGGCTGTCTGAAAATCCGCGTTTCGTGGCATGCATTCAGTTGGGAATACATCTGAAATATCAATGCCCATAAATTTAGATTCCGGGTATTCTGAGGCCATTTCCAATAACCATGTACCTGGTCCGCATCTGTCAAAAAAAAAAAAATCAAACTTGACAAATCTTTATTTTAATCATATGCAATAAATTCGAAGACATGCTCACCCAACATCTAGAACATTGGAGCTCTCCTTTAATAATTTATCAACCGGAGCGGAAAAGTTCGTCTGCCAAACAAATCTCATCAGGTAATGTTGAAGTTGTTCTCTCGTTACTTTTGAAAAAAAAAAGGGAAGGGGGATTTAATGATCGGCAAAATCCGAAAGGGGGATTTCAAACATACATTACCTTCTTCATCATCTGCTGGCAATTCGTATTTTTTATTATATTTCCTCCCGTCGATGTACGTGTAAGTAGACTTATCTATAAAACAGTAATCATTCTCCTTCGGTTCTGCCCCGGTACTTTCAGTATCGTCGCTATAATCAGAAAGCATTCCATTATCTTCTATAAATATATAAAAAGATATTTAGGAACATTCAAACCATCAGACAGGCAAACTAGATCTATTTTTTTTTTTTTTTTTTTGTTTTTACCCATGTTTCAAGCAAAAAAAAAAGGTTTGATTATTAAGAAAATAAATTGCTCTTTTCTTTTTTTTTTCTTGGCGTTTATAAATATTTATAAATATTTACTTTTATATATTGCACGTATGTTTGTTAAATAATTAATATCATGAGCAATAACTAATATACTAAAATAAAAAAAAAAGGCAAGACTAAGACAATAAATAAGCAAGAGTAGACAAACAAAAAAAAAAAAAAAAATTCATGTAAATATATATATATATACGCATGTATATGGATAAGAACATTGGTTTTCACAGTTCAATTTAACGTAACAAAATGATGGAATCCGCGAGTTGTTGTGTGGTATTCTAAATGAAAACCTTAATTATTATTGGTAGTTTGATAAAAAGTCGCTAGCCTTTTTCTGTGAATTCCGCAATACATCTGCTGTAATCAAATGGGATTACATTCTACCGACCATTAAGAGACATCGAATTTAAAATTATAAGATCTTGACAAACGTTGCAAGTCGCTGTTTCCTTTTTCCGAACTTTCGCAAAAAATTCGTCAAAGACCCTTGAAACATTTGTACCCGAATTATCAATCGATCTCTATTTTATATGTATATCTTTATACATATTTATTTATTTATTTATTTTATAAATTAATTAATTAATGATTACACATATAAAAAGAACGAAGAAATTTAAAGTTTGGGATTACACGATTACTCCCGCATTATCGTTAGTAATTTAAAATTAATTCAGATTATCAAATCAAAAGTTAATTAATTTTCGTAGGTTTATCATTTGAACATCAATTTGGAAGTTAATTAACCCATCATTTCGTTTATATTTATGATAATCTGGAAATCCGGGGCAAGCATGAACAAATATTAATTTCATTTTTTCATTTTCATTTTTCATTTTCTTCATTTTCTTTTGTTTTTTTTTTTTTCCAAAGCAAATTGTGACATTATTAAAAAAAATTTAAAAAAGGTTTCAAATGTTCTTATGCATAGAAAATGTAAGATGAAAAACAGATGAAAAAAAACCTTTTTTTATATCGTATTACGATGGCAAAGAAGCAATCATCGATTGGTAATTCCGATGATTGATTATAAATCACAGTTAAAAGAAAATATAATGAAATGATGGTGGATAGTTGTTCTATCATGATCTACAATTTGAGACAACAAAGATGAGGTAATATTTACCAAACGAAAATGAAATTTGTGTAAATCCTTGCATGCGAAAAAGGAAAATGTCATATTGTCAATGAAAAGAAAAACAAACCCTTGTAATGATATCAAGAAAAAATTCAAAAAGTCGATTTTGAATAAAGTTCAATTCGGGTCACAACAATGATCAAAAAATTCAAAAAAAAGTGACGCTACACGAACGTATGGCAGTGCTTATTTGTCATCTTTGGTTACATTTAATTAAATCCCATTCTTTTTGTGCATTACGTAATTAAAACGAATGAGAAATTTCTCGTGAAGATCAAATTCGGATTAGGAAAGACAGAAAGCACACTAAATGTACTGCGTGTATGATATCATTGGTTTTTTTTTTATAAAATGATTATAGTATTACAAATGTGAGTAAAAAATATCAAAAAAAAATATGCTTATCGAAATATTGTTGATTCTACTTACCAATTTAATTTTCTACACGTTTTACATCAACTACCGTTCGACATCCCTCTTTGGTATATATACTAAAATTAATTCGAAAAATGATACCGTTTCGGTACCTTTACCTGGACCATTTATATTGCCTTTGATCGGCAATGCCCATCAAATAAAATTACCGATTCACAAACATTTTTCAAAATTATCTGAAAAATACGGTCCAATCTATAAACTTCAAATGGGAATTAAAACTTGGGTGATCATCAATGATGCCAGAATCGTAAAAGATTTATACGTGACCAAAGGAGCCATCTATAATTCTAGACCGGTAAGAATTATCAATCGAAATCCATAAAGTTGACGCAGTAATTAACACGGTATAATATTTAGAATACGAAAATACTTGGACAAATTTATGTGAGAGGAGGCAAGAATGCTGTTCTTTGTCCCGTAAGTAAATCTTCGAATGCCTTATTATATTAACATGATTTTTTTTGTTAAAATATATTTGATTCCTAGTATGGAGAATATTGGAGGGCACAGCGCGCACTTTCACAAGCGGGGCTACGACTTCAAGTTGTTGATAATCATTACTTTCCCATTATGCGTAAAATGACTGATGAAATGATCAAAAAATTGTTGTCATATAATGAAGAGGCCATCAATCCATCGCATGATATTTATTATTATTTGGTAAGAATATTGGCATTATGCGTATTTGGATATGGTTCAAAAGGATTGGGTGATAGTCTAATTGAAAAATACGTAGATATTGTTAAAGAATCAATCGTTTTATTGGATCCTAAAGCATCAATCGTCGATTGTTTTCCCTGGACGGAATGTTTACCTTTTAACCAAAGATTTATTAAGTATGCAACGGAAGCAAGGGCACGTGTTGACAAAGTTTCTGAAGAGCTTTTAATTGATTTACAAAAGAGAATGAATGAACCTGGTGGAGAAAATATTAATTGTTTTGCCGCTCAAACTTTAAGATCTGTTAAATTTGTTGATATAAACCCTTCCCCTTTCGTTCAAGACTGTGGAAAGAAAGATAAAGAGGACGGACTATATCCGATGGATATTTATGATTTTAATTATCTTAATAGCTCTTTTATGATCGGTGGTACTTCTACTAGCATCACCGCCACAAGATTTCTTATTGCTTACTTGGCACAACATCAAAATGTACAAAGAAAAGTTCAGGAAGAGTTGGATAGGGTTGTAGGTAAAGGAAACTTGGCTACTACAAACCATTTGGATGATCTTCAATATCTACAAGCTACTTTTAAAGAAGTTTTGAGATTAAATCCACCATTTGTATCAGTTTTACCACATGCTTCCACTGAAGATGATATTTATAAAGGTTACTTTATACCAAAAGATTCGACAATTTTGGTTAATCTCATGGGGATTAGTCGTAGCCCAGAATTCTTTTCTGATCCTGATGCTTTTATACCAGAACGTCATCTAGACGAAATTGGAATCCTAAGAAAATATGATTTATGTGATATAGTAAGTACTGTACGTTACATTTATGTGATTGAAATATACAATTATTTATTTATTTATTTATTATATTTATTACAAAAAAAAAAAAATAGACGTTTGGTAAAGGTCGTAGAATGTGCATAGGAAGAGATTTAGCAGAAAGAAATATTCTAGTTATTATTTCTTCGATTTTAACTTTATTTAATATCGAATGTGAGATTGATGATAAAACCGGGAAAAAAATTGAAATAGATTTAGAACCAATTGAAAATGGATTTGAATTTATACCAAAAGAGTATAACGTCCGTTTTGTTAAAAGAAAATAATACTATAAATTTCTATTTCGTTTTTTTAAACAAACGTATCGTGTGTCGATGCCTATAATTAAGGAATTTGCAATACAAATTCCTTTGAAAACAAAAGTTTCTGGGAAATTTACATAGAACTAATTTTATTTTATACTGTCTTACACAAAGCTCAACAATAAATACATTCATAATATTTTGAACAATTTATCCAAGTCAAAATTTTTTTAAAGTGCATATCACGTGATTTTAGAATTAGGTTGTTGTTGATGTGAAAAGAAAAGTTATTTTCTTTTCTTAGAAACTGAATTCAGAATAATAAGATTTTTTTTTTTAAAAAAAAAAATCAAAACAACTTAAGATCATTGGCTTATTTCTCTATCGCATGTGTGAACTTCCGTTTATACGCAAACAAATATTGAAAAGGTATTCAGTTGCAATTTGTTTAATTATTGTAATTATTGTGTACCATTCGATGATAATGGCAATTAGTTTCCATTATGATAATGACAATTAGTTTCCATTATGATAATGGAAATTTAATATTGCGTCAGCAAAAAAGGTAAATCTGAAACATGTCAAATAAAATTTTATCAAAATTTAGATTTCATTGACTGCCGCCCAAATACCAAATATATCTTTCTAGGCTTTGGTGTAATTACAAATTTCGATACTTTAGCAAACAACCACCAGAGCAAGAAATATTGAATGCGAAAATACCTTTGGACTTCATAACCCAAGACAAGTTTACGCCACATTAACACTAAATCACGTACCAGAAGTTATCGTCTATATGCACGAATATGATTTTAGATTAATTGAAATGCTAATTAGGTTTTGTCAATAAGCTTTCCTATTTTACTTTATTTCTATTTTTTTATTTAAAATAAACGTCAATTTTGTAAATCGTTTGTTTTTTTAAATAAACAAAAAAATGTTCGAAATATTTTTAATTTCAGTTATCACTTTAATTTTCTACACATTGTATATCAACTATCATTCGACATCCTCCTTTAAAAATTCTAAAACTGATGCGAATGTTTCAGTACCTTTACCTGGTCCATTTATGTTACCTATAATCGGTAATGCTCATCAAATAAAGCTTCCGATTCACAAACATTTTACAAAATTATCTGAAAAATATGGTCCAATTTATAAACTTCAAATGGGAATAAAAACTTGGGTTATTGTCAACGATGCTAAAATCCTAAAAGATTTATACGTGTCAAAAGGGGCCGTTTATAATTCTAGAGAGGTAAGAATTTTTTTTTTTAAAAAAAAAATCGTGATTGCAGTGAAGTTGACGCAAATAATCCATCGTTTAATTTATATAGAATACGAAAATACTTGCACAAACTTATGTGAGAGGTGGCAAGAATAATATCTTTTGTCCCGTAAGTACAAGGGTATTATGAAACTTTGTTTAAAAATTGAATAAAATAACCCATATTTAACTTTATAGTATGGAGAATATTGGAGGGCACAGCGCGCACTTTCACAAGCGGGGCTACGACTTCAAGTTATTGATAATCATTACTTTCCCATTATGCGTAAAATGACTGATGAAATGATCAAAAAATTGTTGTCATATAATGAAGAGGCCATCAATCCAACGCATGATATTTATTATTACTTGATAAGAATTTTGGCAATAAGTATATTCGGATATAGTTCAAAAGAACTGGGTGATAATTTAATTGAAAGATACGTAGATATCGCTAAAAGAACATTTGTTCTATTTGATCCTAAAACATCAATCGTTGATTGTTTTCCCTGGACGGAATGCTTACCCTTTAACCAAAGATATATTAAATATGCAACGGAAGCAAGAGCGCTTGTTGACAAAGTTTCTGAAGAGCTTTTAAATGATTTACAAAAGAGAATGAATGAACCTGGTGGAGAAAATATTAATTGTTTTGCCGCTCAAACTTTAAGATCTGTTAAATTTGTTGATATAAACCCTTCCCCTTTCGTTCAAGACTGTGGAAAGAAAGATAAAGAGGACGGACTATATCCGATGGATATTTATGATTTTAATTATCTTAATAGCTCTTTTATGATCGGTGGTACTTCTACTAGCATCACCGCCACAAGATTTCTTATTGCTTACTTGGCACAACATCAAAATGTACAAAGAAAAGTTCAGGAAGAGTTGGATAGGGTTGTAGGTAAAGGAAACTTGGCTACTACAAACCATTTGGATGATCTTCAATATCTACAAGCTACTCTTAAGGAAGTTTTGAGATTAAATCCGCCATTTACATCAATTGTTCCACATTCTTCCACGAAAGATGATATCTACAAAGGTTACTTTATACCAAAAGATTCGACAATTTTGGTTAATCTCATGGGGATTTATCGTAACCCAGAATTCTTTTCCGATCCTGATGCTTTTATACCAGAACGTCATTTAGACGAAAATGGAATCCTAAGAAAAAGTGATTTACATGATCTAGTAAGTTACCTAAGATAAAACATTGAATTTAAAAATACAATTATTTATTTATTTATTATTTATTTTATTTATTTACAAAAAACAAAAAAAAATTTAAAAAAAAGTCGTTTGGTATAGGTCGCAGAATGTGCGTAGGAAAAGATTGGGGCAAAAGAAATATTTTTATTATTATAACTTCGATTTTATCAATATTTAATATCGAATGTGAGATTGATGATAAAACCGGCAAAAAAATTGAAATAGATTTAGAACCAATTGAAAATGGGTTTGAATTTACAACAAAAGAGTATAGCGTCCGTTTCGTTAAAAGAAAATAAATGAAATATACTAAAGTTACAGTATAATTAGTTTGTAAAAAAAAAAAAAATCGGAATATTTTTTATTAAAAATATTTATCCCATATGAACATTTTATATAAAAATACTCATTATTTTATACATAAATATAACATTTCAAATATTTTAAATAAACATAGTATTACAGAGGGTCTCCAAAAGTTTACGCACACTTTTTTTGTATGAATTTTAATCATATTTTTATTTAAGCAAATGATCT